TTTTCGCTGGACAATACACACTCAAATCTGTGAAATTGTTATTCAGTTTCATTTTGTATACACTGCAGTTTCATTTCAACACAACTACAATTTCATTTCAATTCAATTACAGTTTTATTTGATAATATAATAAAAATAATACGTAAGACAGTGTCAGTTTAGTATAGTGTCTGATGTTTTGGACCGCGGTCCACAATATAATTGCTATTGAAATTGGAGGCCAATCTCCTTCTCTAGTTTCTCATAAAACTTTATTCTAAAATGTCTTATTTGATGATAATATAGCCCCCATTGGAGCTCCTAAATTAAATAGTAAACTCATAATTTAAATTAAATTGCATAATTTAAAACAATTTTAATATAAGCATTGAAAATATAAAATTAATATTCAAACACTAAAATAAGCTCAAAATAATCATTATAACATACTCAAATTGGACTTATAACATTTAATGGCCCAAGTAAACTATAAAGTTATGAGAGAAAGGTCTATCACTAAAACAAACCCAAACCTATTTAATATTCTTACCAACATAAATACCAATAACAATATATATATATATATATATATATATATATATATATATATATATATATATATATATATATATAGAGAGAGAGAGAGAGAACTGGGTTGGGTGGGCACCTCAAGTGCGGTTGTGCGGTTTAATCTGAGCCATTCATCTCATTTAAATCAACGTCTCAGATTACCAAAATTAAATTAAAAAATGCGGTGGCATTTTGGTAATTTTTGCATCTCGGTAAATTTGAGTTATTTGGGTTTGGATTTAATGTGCGTGAGATTTGTGTTTAAGGTGCGTGGGATTTGTGCTTAATGTGCGTGAGGTGTGTGCTTAATGTGCGTGGGGTTAGTGATTAATGTCAATAGTTGTTGAAACTTAAAGTGTGTGAGTTAATACTTAAAGTGCGTCAGTTTAATGCTTAATGTGCGTGAGATTTGTACTTAATGTGCGTGGATTTTATGCTTAATGTGCGTGAGTTTGTGCTTAATGTGAGTCATTTTAAAATCTTAAGTGCGTGGATTTTGTGCTTAGTGTGCTTAAGATGCGTGTTTTATGTACTTAATGTGAGTGATTTGTGTTCTTAAGGTGCTTTGTTTGTGTGCTTAATGTGCGTGGTGATTTGTATACCTAAGATGCGCCATGTTAATATTGAAGATGCGTCCAACCGCACAACCACACGGGAAGCTTTTACCGCCCCTGAATCCTTCCCTATATATATATATATATATATATATATATATATATATATATATATATATATGTATATATTTATTTATTTATTTATTTATGCATGCATTATAGCCACACAACACGTACATATATGTATTACTTTGTATATAAATATATACGATATCCAGTTAAACCACTACTTAATACTTAAAAGGGCCCAAAGAACAATAATTTCCTCCAGCCCAATGTGAAGCTTGCCTGATTCCAGGAAACAAGATGACAAAGTGGCCTGGCTTGCAGTGATACGCAAATTATATCGTGCACCGTGGTGCATGATCGACCATGCACCGCGCATCAAAATGACGTCGTTTTGTTTAATGAAAAAAAACAGCATTCGTTTCCTGTCGTTTCGCACCCTTTCGCAAAAAAAGTAACTCTGTTATTCAGTTTCATTTTGTATACACTGCAGTGTCAGTTCAACACAACTACATTTTCACTTCGATATAACTACAGTTTCATTCAATATTTATACACTCAAATATGTGAAAATGTTATGTAACTTTATTTTATATACACTATAGTTTTATTAAAACACAACTACATGATCATTTTGATATAATTACAGCTTCATTGTATAATATACACTCAAATATGTGAAATGTTATTCAGTTTCATTTTATATACACTACAGTTTCACTTCACCACAACTACAGTATCATTTTGATATAACTGCAGTTTCATTCGTCGTGAGGCAGTATCAGTTTAAATATATTGTAGTGTTAGTTGGTGTTTAATACACCAAATATGCGGACTCTGTTAACGGTAACGGCGGGCCATTTCTTTACCGCGGTGCATTGCACCGCAGTCTACGATATAACGACTGATAGTGATACAAGTATACAACCCTTAGGAATTATAGAGATTATACATACATGCACCGCGGTCTACGATATAACGACTGGTAGTGATACAACCCTAGGAATTATAGAGATTATACATACAATAATCTAATGCCTAGCTCACTCTTATTGGTGGAGGCTAAAGTACAAGGCTACTATTATGCTACATAGTTATAATACTTGCAAAATACTACTTCGTTTATATATTCCATAACCAAATACTTCATTGTCTTGACGAATAGCCAACTTTCAATATACTAAAAAATGATCATTTATTTATTATAATGTGGATTATGGTCCACAATATAATTTGCCAAGTGAGCATTGGTTCTCTCATATATAAGCATCTCCATCTGTGAGTTTTTCAGAGTTTTTGAGGAGAATACGACAGAGCATTTGGGAGGATATAAATCATGGTAACTTAGTCCCCCTCATTTTAAGAGATTGCTCCAACAATGCCGCTGGTGAGACTCGATCTCTGATCATTAATCAATTCCCAAACTTCACCCATATGACCAACTGAGCTGCCCATGCGGGCGAGAACATGACTTATGGATGAGAAAAGGGAGGACAGAGAAGAGTTGTGGTCTTCCTACAAGAATGATTTTTTGTGGACCCGCCAAGAGAGACGCAACCGCGTGTGTGGCCTGCACTGACCACGCCCAGCACGCGACCGATGTCATTTCCGTTGCTCTTTTCTTTTCTTTTTTTTTTTTTTTTTTCGTCAAACTTTTTTTTTTTCTCTCTTTTTCTTCCTCCTCTCTCCCCCCTTTGATCTCTCTCCTAATTAGCACCTCAAAAACCACCAAAAAAAAAAAAAAACTATTGAGGATGCTCTAATTAATTATTAATATTTGGACCATTTGACCTATCCAAATATTATAGCACCAACAAATACTTTGAACCAAAAAGTTTTAAAATCATAGTTGACTCCAAATCTTTTGAAGGATTTTGCGAAGAAAGAAAAGCTCAAATTCTCCAAATATGCAAATATATCTTAAGCACTCCAATTTCCTTCGAGTCCAATTTTCAAACCCTAATTCAGCCTTACTATCATCTATTTAATTGCCTCTCAAGTCGCAAGTTTCAAATACTCCTGTAATCGGTGATTTGACAATCTCCTATTTCAATTGTCTCCAACTAGAATACCGCCGACTCTTGTTTACTCCATGTTCATCCTCCTTCAAAGATAATTGATCTTCTCTCTTAATCTCTCATCTCTCAATTAAAGGGGAAGGGGAGGGGAGCGCCATGGAAAAAAAGTTGGTGTTCTCCATCGTCACCAATCCTAAAACTCCTCGAGTAGACTCTCTTTGCACTACAGGTAATTTCTATTTTTAATTCTATAGTATAAGACTTGAGAACTAAAAAAATAAAACTAATTGTGTTTTACATTTGAAAAACAAAATAAAGTTGATTTACGTCTTTGTTAAAAAAGAATTAAAAAATTGGGAAATACAAGTGCTTATCCATATAGATTTAACTCCTTTATGAATTGTTTATTGGCGTTGACTCCGCTAGCACTCACTAATGCTCAATTAACTCATTGTAATTCTCTGCACTAAGGTCACAAAGCTCTTTTTACTTAGAGCACACATTTAGGATATTAGCGCTTGTAGCAATGGTCCACATTGTCACTATTACATGATAGTCCCCTCTCTCCCCACCCCATCTTTTAATGCCAATTGTCTTGCAAACAAATGTAGATTTGTAAGCCATTACTTCGCTCTGTCACATGTAGCAATGTGAATTATGTATTTTTTTTTTTTTTTAATTTAGGACATCTCCAACTAAAGATAAAGAAGGAAGAGAAAGGGATATAAAATGTGAGAAAATCATTGGAGGGGAGATGAGAAAATTGCTCCAGAGAGAATAGTCTATCTGGAACAAATTCACTGTGTACGTGACGCTTGTCGTCGGCTATGCACCACATTTACGTGCAGAAAGTGGGGGACGACGGTCCCCTACCTTATGTTTGTTTGTTTTTTTTTTTCTTTTGTTTTTTTTTTTTTAACAGCAGCTTCAATTGGCAGTTGCTTCAGTTTTTTTTTTTTTTTTTTTTTTTTTTTAAATTTGAATTTTATTTTCTCTTATTTATAAATTATGATTTTAATTTATTTTTAAAACTTCTAAAAATTTATTAATTGTTGTTATATTTAGTATGTAAAATTTTGTATTTTACGAATTGTTAATTTATTCCGTAGATAATTTTGAATGAGGATATTTGAAAGAAACCCACAAAAAAATGAGGAAAGGGGAAGGATTTGAGAGAAAATAAGAGATGAAATTATATTTTGATGTGAAAGAGTTGAACCACCCCCCCCAAATGAGGATATTTGAAGAGAAGATTATCTAGAATTATTTTCATGATTATGATTGTGTATGTAACATTGTTTAAAACGTATAAATTTTATTTCAAGTTATTTGACATTAGTATTTTTTGACACAAAGAACCAATAACGCCTCCACTAAGGCTCGAACTCACAACCTTCCAAATGAAAATCCAACTTAGATACCATTAGACTACATAGTCTTGGTATTTAATTTAATTTAAATATTTAGTTATGAAGATATGTATTAATTTCATGTAAGATCCATTTTTGTTGACCCGAGTCTATAAAATTATAAGACTGGGCATGATAAATATGTATTGTTCAACAGTGTGTTTAGAAAATTAAAATAATATTACAAATTGGGATCTTAATCTAAATTGAATACGAACCAAACTATAATGTTAAATTAAATGATATCATTTTTTAATACCAAAATACCAAAATCAAAACCGAAAAAATCAAACTAAATCCTAAATCGCCAATCCCTAAATCATGCCTTCATGGTATGAACCCGGTCCATGGTATATAGATTGTAAGGACAACCTTATGGGTTTGACTGTCTTTTAGAAATTAGAAGTAGCCCATTTCTTCGAAATTCGAACATCTTTCCCTTCCCCTCATCTTACACTCGGTCTCAGAAATTCAGAAAAGCCAAAAGCTCTCAACTTTCATTCAAGACACAGACTGAATTCAGGAATGGCCTTCGTATAAAAGGGTTAATTTTCCATCCCCATTTCTTTGCATATCACTACTTACGTGTTCTTCGTATTAAGAATGGTTTCTTCGTTCTTATTGCCCTGTTTGAAATTCAAAATTAGATCGAGACAGATCTTGATTCACGACATTTTTCACTAATGAGTAAAATAATTTTGTTTGAAAATTGATGAGTTACTTATACGTGAGTTGTTATTTCTTGATAAATTGTTAGCTGCGGTTTTTTTTTTCCCTTCCAAATTTTCAGCTTTCCTCTCATTGTTGTTACTGATGAATTCCAGGTATCTTTTCTTGGACGAACGGGCATCTATTTGTGATCATTAATTGCTCAAATTTAGTGCTCAATTGTATTTGAAAGTTACTTAGCTGGACGTTTTCTTGTCGAATTGCAAGAGAAATACTGATTTCCTTTGTATTGTTACTTGTGTTTGCTGTTTTTTTTTTTTTTTTTTTGGGGCATTAGAAATTCAACATGAGATGGCTCTGCATAATTCATTTTATAAATTTAAATGTGTAAATAAATTATTCAATAAGATTGATTGTTGATTGAGTGGCATTGAGTCTCTTATTTGTACACTGGGTACTGAAATTGCTTGTTCTTTTCTTGTTTAAATAGGCACATCTTTCTGCACAGACTTATCAGCGGCTTTGAACAGAGTTTATAAAATGGAGGATAGAGAATATTCTGAGAGGAAATGGGAAGACATGGATATTGACGTGCTGGTGAAGATATTTCAGTCTTTTGACATATTTCAGTTGACTTCTGGGATTGGCCAAGTCTGTAGCGCATGGCGTCTTGCCTGCTGTGATCCTATACTTTGGAAGACACTTGATATTTCTATGATTAAATCAAACTTCATTAAAATCCCATTGGAGCCGTATGTATATGTGGGTGATCAGTCTGATAAAACATTAACCCGACTCTTGAAGATTGCTCTGAACCTCAGCCGTGGAAACATTCTCACTCTCATTTTCCATTACAATCTGTATGTAAGCGATGTTCAGTTGACATATACAGCAGAAAGGTAATTCCTAGAAATCCCTTTTGTATATGTGTTAAGTGTGGTATGAATGAATGTAAGCGATATTGGGCAAATTACCCTCAATTTCTCTTGCAGGTCCCCACAGCTTAAACGTCTTGTTATGCCTGCTTGGAACAAAATTAAAAAGACTGGAATATGCAGCGCAATTCGCATGTGGAAAAATCTTGAATCACTGACAATGCCTAGCATAGCAAATCCTCCCTACCTTTTGGAGGAGATTTCAAAGAGCTGTAAGAACTTTGCTGAGCTCAAGATAATGGGACCTTGTGACATTGTGTTTGCATCTTCAATAGCTGCATTTCTTCCAGACCTAAAAGTTTTGAGCCTGCGGTGTTCAGTGCTATACAAAGAAGCTTTGCTCATCATCTTGGAGGGGTTACCAAAGTTGGAAGTGCTCAACATATCTCACTGCCTACTGTTTGAACGCCCTCCCCCTGCACCCCGCAAAGTTGTTAATGAGTTTGATGAATCAATTCGTGAAAGGGCTTCTAGGCTGCGCAAGTTTTTAACGTGCATGAGTGATATATGCAGCATGTGTCAGCGCACTAGAAATGATGAAGGGCTGATTAGGTGGTACAAATATGAAGAAGACCTCTGGAAAGAAGATGAGGTGAGATCTCTTGCAATCTGAAAGTGCTCCTCCAACTTTTGGTAACTTTGGTGTAGTGTGTGTACTTGGTGTATCAACTCTAAGAAAGAGAATAAGACTATTATGAACATCAACATCCAGTTGTGGATTCTGTAGTGATCAGCCAGTGATGAATGTTCATTCAGCTGCTATGCTAGGTAGTTGAGGAGAAAGGGTAACACAGTTGTTGATAGGAGTTTATTGAAAACAAAGAAAAATTATGTAGGAGTTATTGAAAGCAATATTTTTCTTTCTCTTAAAGGATGGTTTTTTTTCTGATTAGTTGAACTGTAAAGTCGTCTTGTTATTCAAAATGAGAGTTTTTTTTGCCAATATAGTTTGCTTAAAAGAAGCTGTTGTCTCTTTTTAGTATTTGGTCTATGTAATGGTTGTTAGAATAGACAAACAAATTTTAATAAATGACGGGTCAGATTGCATTCTTTGATGTTAGTTTATATGATTCATAGTGTTGTTATTTTTTCGTGTTCGTTTGTTAATATTTTTAGAGTATTCATGTTCAAACATGAATAATTTATCAAAAGATTTGTTTGCTAACACCCTAATAATAATAATTCAAAGAGGATTGAAGAGTAGTCATATTTAGCAATTAGCATTGGCCGGTCTGCAAATACAAAATGACAAGACAGGAAAATATTCTTACAATCAAGTATGGTTGAACTATAAATCCTTGACCATTTTAGCTCCATCTTCCTGCAAAAAATCATATGCTTTTTGATTGTCTTTCACTTTTATAATAAATATATTCACACTTGCTGCTCTGTGTCGTTCCGTTGGGCTTGGGCCATTAAAGCAAAAGGTAACAGTTAGTGGGAATGCATTATGAATATAGGCCGGCGCGATTGGGGAAGTTGGTTTTCTGCGGGCCCAATATGAAAATGGCCGGCCCTTCAAACGTCGGCAAATTATGCTGTGCATCCGTATGCATCATGCATGGTGCATACGGATGCAAAAACGACGTCGTTTTAATAAAACGCGCCTCCCCTTAAAAGAAAAAAAATCAGGTTCGATTCCCAACAACAACATATGAACTAAAATTCCATAATCGATGAATTATAATTCCATAATTTAATCTATGAACTAAAAATTTCAGAATGAATGAACTAAAATTCCATATAATAATCTATAAACTAAAATTTCAGAATCGATGAACTACAATTCCATAATCGATGAACTATAATTCCATAATCAATGAACTATAATTTCATAATCTATGAACTAAAATTCCAGAATGAATGAACAATATAATGTTGTTGCTGGGAATCGAACTTGAAATTTTTTTAAAGAAGAGACGCGCGTTTTTTAATAAAACGACGTCGTTTTGGCATCCGTATGCACCATGCATGGTGCATACTGATGCACAGCATAACTATCCTCAAACGTCCGACACGACAACATAGTCCATAGATAAACTACCTACCTACCATTCCTATTTCCTACCAACCGCTGCCCATTTCATTTGCACGATTTTGAAATATTTTTGTATCAAGAGACAAAGAGGCAGATTGAGGAGATGGCATCTTCTTCAACTTTTATAAAATTTCTCATTCCACTGTATGTATAGGTGGTGGTTGAGATTATTGCTTTGCTTTCGTATCAAACACAATAATAAATAATATTAAATGTAAAAAAACAAATCGGGACGAAGGAATAACAAGGAAGGAAGCATTGGGCATTGGGTGGTAATGGTATAGCACTATAGTGTATAGTGTATAGTGTTGGTTTTCCTGGAAATCCTTTTTTAGTGTACACTACTTAATTACTTTTGGTTTTAGCAATTGGCAGTCACGTGTTTCTGGCTGGTCTGGATTCATTGCAATTTGCTGTGTGCTCTCACCTCCGCTCCTGCGTTTCTACTCTAAACATAAACACTAACCTGTAACCCCACTCCAATCCCCATCTCCCTCCCACCTTCTCTCAACACCGCCGCGCCGATCCTCCTTTCCACTTTCTTTATTGTGAGAGCTACATACTGGGATTCGCACACACAACATTTCTGTGAAGCCCTGCCGGATATAGAGGAGCTGGTGAGGATAAAGTTTCTTTTTTTCTTTTTCTGGGGAGGTTAAATTATCACTATTTTTCTGTTTGGGTTTTATTTTTCGGGGGAATAGTTATTTTTAGTTGAAGGTTGGTAGGAAATTTTAGGGACGGTTGTGACAGACATGGCCCATGGGGAAGAAACAGTCCTTACCGGATTGGCTTTCCTGCAGCTTGGAAAATGGATGTTAATGGGAAGAAAGACGACAAGGTTAATTATCTAATTGCCATGTCTCTATTCTCGCCTCATATACCATACATAGATTCTTCAATTCGTTTCAGATCTTTAACTTGCAATTTATCAGCACTCATCCTGCCCCCACTTAACTTTTCTTCATTTATCCTTGTTGCCGGAGTTATTAGTTGAATTTTAATTGATGTGCGTTTGGGGACTAGACTGACTTGTGGATTTATTGGAAAATAGTATGCATGTTAGTAATAAGTAGCAAAAGATTCGATTTTTATTGAATTCCAGTGAGACTGACTGGAGTTAGTTAGTTAGTTAGTTGTGCATCATCTCAACCGGAAGAAAGCGTGGAAGCCCCAATATTTGTTTGTTATGTGGCTAAATAACCTCAATAGCTTGGCTTTACTTACCTGGTGTTGTGTTACTGCAATTGCTGGGCTTGCTTGTAGAGGAAGAGATTCTTGATTGGGAGAAAATTAGACTATTTTTTAAATGTCCAAGCTATAGGATGGAGGAGAGGAGAAACATGTGAGTCAAAATTTCATGTCCAAGGGTTTATTTAATTCCTTTTCAATGTAGGATTTCTGAAATTGGACATTTCAGCTCATGTAACCTTATTGGAGTTTGATGGAAATTTACAAACTTTTCATATTTTCCAACTTCAATACTATTAAATATATGAAGAATGAACTAATTTAGATTCTTTTCCTTCTTTATTCCCTCCTTTTTTATTTGGGAAACTACCACCTTTTTATGTTTGAATATGTTTCTCGTGTTTGTTGTAGTGTTACACTGATCCCTCCAAAAAATTTAAATTATACTATAAGGCGGATGCTCTCCGCCATATCAGTAAGGAGATGAAGAATAAAGGCAGTGGAAAGGTGATTTCAATAACTCTTTTATTATGACTCAACCTTATTTTTTTTCCCCAATCTTATTTTCTTATATTCTTGCAAAAACTAGTTCAAAGTTGAGAAGGTTATAGCTGAAGGCTTACCTCCAGGATGGACCAAGGAAATAAGAGTTAAGAAGAAGGGTGGCAAGACAAGGAAAGACCCGGTACTGAATTCTAGATATTTGTCTCTTTTTTTATTTTTAATTTTTGGTTTAGGGTTTAGGGTTTTAGTACCCTAATTATCTTGAATTCTTGTCCAGCATTGGCATGCATATACTTGCTGATGGATATATTGGACCCGGATCGAACCGACCCGGAGAGACGGACCCGAGAAGCCCCTCGGCCCAGTCAATTGGGCCGTGGCCGAGTTGGCCCAAGGCATCTCGGCCTTGGGCCGAGTCGGCCACAGATGGGCTCGGTACACCCGAGCCCACCACCATGGACTCGGCCCCTGCCGAGCCGGTCCATGGTGGACTCGGCTAGGCCGAGCTCGGCACGTGCCCAGCTCGGCCGTGCCGAGTCGGCCCGCCTTGGACCCGGTCCCGGAGGGGACGCGGTCAAAGCGGGCCGATCCAACTAACCCCGATCCTAGGGGTGCGGTTAGGGGGTTTGAGCTGATATAAAAGGACTCCCTCTTGTCCTAAACAGGGACACACAACACAACACAACAGATTCCTGAATTGCTATCTTCTAGCCTTATTGTCCTAATCAAGCCTTGTAATAGCTTATTAGCGATAATTAATACAATATACGGTCCCTGCGACCTTATTATATCTCTGCGTCGTATTATTTATTTCGTACGTATACTTATCCGGGTTTGATAATTCGGGCTACCCCCGGGGAATTAAATCCATCACTTGCAATCTTCAAATTGATGTACTTTGTTTTGTTCTTCGATCTGTATTCTGCATTTCTGCCATTTCAATCAAAATCTAAAAAATTAACAAATATATTATTTGTGCAGTATTATATTGATCCTGAGAGTGGGCAAGTCTTCCGCTCTTTGAAGGAAGTTTTTCGCTACCTTGGAACTAAAGATTGTAGTAAGGCTGAACCTGAACTCAAGGATCAAGGTCCCAACAATGTGGAAGCTGGTGGTTCTCTTTCATCTGTAAGTCTGAATGGCCATATATTTCTTGCTAGGTCCCATAATTTTTTATTTATTTTTAAATGAAACACCATATGGGTGGTTATGTTACATGTTAGGTATCACTGTAAAAGCGTTGCTCTTGTTGTATCCTTCTTATGAAATGGTCAGTTCTTATCTAAGCCATCCAAATGGAAATTCAGCAGAGATAGTAGTGTGATGAAGCATGTATATATATCCATACAACCAAATATTATGCATTTTGCTTAAGAGGAATTTCTTCTTTATGAGTTTAAAAGATTCGACGACTCCAGAGAAGACCCTGCTTGATTTGTGCCATTTCTTGATAGCATGTAGCTAGGGGAATGCTACAAGTTGTCTGATTACTCTTCTTGTCTATATTAGAATGCTGATGTCAGAACCCAAAGTGGTTTACGTATCAACTGCGCCAAGTTCGTGGCATTTTGTATGTAGTGGAAACTCTAGGAATTCATTACTTCCTTTTTCTATCTTCTTTTGTCATGCTAAATATTTGTTGATGTTTTCAGATCTCTACCAACTTCTGGTCTCTGTTTCCTTTGTTAAAATAGCGGCGCAGCTCAGACTCATAATACAGTGCGTTCTTTGTCAAATTTTAATACAAATTCCCTCCCTCACTTAGCATCTTCCCTCTGAAAACTTCACTTCTTCCTGTTTAAGGCAAACACCTCAATATTAGTATGTTTCCATGAGTTAAGTCTTTATGATGATGATGTTTCAGTATCACTTGAGAGTTGAGATATGTTCCTCTGAAATCTTTCGTCAAGATTTAAACGTTTATTTTTTGTATTTGTCATTTTCTAGTTACCTTCTGAAGCTGAAGAACAGAAAGTGGGTGAAAGCAAAGCAGCAGATGGACAGATTGCTATGAATGAGAGACTCAAGTTGGGCGAGGAACACGTTATAAAGCCCAATGGTACAGAATGCTGTACATCACCCCCGGGAAAGACTACTCACCTGCGTAAAATCTCTGAACTACTTTCAGTGCCACTTTGAGAGTGTATTTAATTATTTTGTCAGCTCATTTTAACACTTAAAAGAAAAAAAAAAATTAAATTCTTCTATGAGAGCTTAGAGTGAAAATGTGAAGAGAAGTAAAATACAACATTTGTGCTGATTGGATTGGGATTTAAACATTTGCTGCAGGTAAGAAAGGTGGTGTAATAGAGAACAATTACGTGGCACAGGTAAATAACTTGGAAAGTAACAAGGATAGTAATCCGATTGAATGCCAACTTGTTTCAGCCCACGTAGCAAGAGAACGTGGTCATGAAGAAGTGGTACCACCAGCAGGCAAGGAGGTGGTGGAAAAACATGGACATAAAATTATCCACAAAAAGAGGAAGAAATTGCGTAACAATAAAATGGCCAGCTTACCTTGCCGAACTTCCAAGCGTCTTGCTGGTATTGAAGCTGATGCATCTTTGGAACTGAAAACATATAATCAAGGCTCTCAAGCTGGAGCAACAAAACAACAGAAAGGTCAGACAAAAGCAGTTGTCACTAATAATAATTTAAATGAAGGGATTGAAAGGCCAAAGACTGGGAATGCGGCTAATGAAAAGAAACAAGAAGATGATGCTACTTTACCCCTGAAAAAGCTTCATTCTCCAGATCCAGATGGAAATGACAGAGAAGTTGGTCCTAACAGTAAAGATGGCGAGAAGACTGAAATAACTCCTGAATCATCATCATCGTCATCATGTGTCAAGGATATGTGGATGGATCCATGCATAGACTTTGCAATAAAAACTCTTACTGGTGCAATACCCATCGGAGATGAGAAGAAGGTGGATGAGACCCCACAGTCCTCCCTCAGTTGTTCATCTGCTGGAAATCCACAGTCCTCTGTGGAGTTGCCATTTGGGGGGGACATATGGGCAGATCCATGCTTTGCTTTCGCTGTAAAGACGCTTACTGGCAAAGAGATACCAATCACTGATGATTTATCTGCACAGAAGGTACTTGAGCAGCAATGCAGTGCAACGGGGCCTCAAATTACCAATGGCTTACCACAGCCTCCAAGTATTAGGCTTGATGATTTTAGGCAGGTCAATAATCTTTCAGCCCCCCGGCATTTTAACATGCCAGAGAAGCCTTTTTACAAGCCACAGGGTCCAGTAGCTCCTCCTCCTCCTCCTTCTGCATACCAGAACAATTGGCTCGCTAAATTCGGTTCAAACCAGCCTTCATCACTGTGTTGAGGACACAACAATTCTGTGAACTTAGAAAACTGTGGGGTTATCAGGCAGAGTAGCAATTCTGTTGTAATGTTGTGTGTTAGTGTAGTGTGTATGTTGAAGCGTTAGTGGTAGTGTTCTCTCTTCAAAATCAAGACAGTTGATTTTATTAAATAAATACTGGGCAGAACATAATTCAGTTTATCACAATTGCTTGGTGTGGATGCAACCAATAGTTCAGTTCAGATAGTGGATTGTGAGATACTGAGCTAGCTAGCTAAATAAATGTATATTTTGTAGAATGATGCAAATATATTTCCTTCCCTTACATTCACTTGTTTATCAGCAGCTTTACACACCCACCACCCTAAGGATTCACATTTACAAACATCACTAATCTCCTAGAAACAATACAAAATGCTCACTTACTACAGACGGGGCCTCGGCCTCCAACTACAAATGCCAATCTTGTATATTTCAACCACACTGTATTCTCAATGTTGGATTACTTTAAAAGCCACCACCCAGAGGCCATGCGTCTTTAGGCAATCTAATATGGGTCAAGACATTGCAATTCCTGACCTGGATAATTTATCACAACACCAGCCAAGCCAAGCCAAGAGAACAACATGCGAAAGTATGGTGATTTCATCGTTAACTGCTCTGTTCACAAAGTTCCATCCCTCTATGGATATGTTTCCAAACCAAGGGGGGTGGTTCAAGCATTAATTTCAGCATTACACTGATTCTCCCTGCTGCAGCTCCTTCTGCCCCAAAACATGCTTGAGCACGTAGTTTTCTCCAACCTTACTCCTCCCATCTTCTCTTGCTCCTCTGATGTCGATTCTGATTGATGGTGAGACCCCTCTTGAACTTCATTATCTCTGGATTCAAAAGTCGGGCATGGCCCCTCATTGCATGTGCACAAAGGGATAGCAACAGAAGGAAAGGGGTTACACGTGGCAGGACAAAAAATATCTGAAGAAACTGAAGCTACACGGTTCCTTCTAATATTCTGTGCACTGCTAGATGTTGAATGGTTGTCGTCTTGCTCATCAGTATGAAGCATGCATGGCGTACATAAGCTTAGTGATATGTGCAATCTAATTTCCTTTGATGAACAACCAGGTAGTTTCACAAACGAGACAATCCCATGTCTGCAAAGTGGGCATGGAATGGAGCCAGGTGGACCCAACAATTCAGATGGGACATTGCTTGCAGAGCAAAGGTACAGAGCACATCTCACACAAAGTGCATGCCCACAACCTGAAAGTGTACAGCATAGTAGGAATCAAGATTTCACTCCCTAATTTTTTTAATTTGTTCCAACAGTCGCAAGTAAAATTCTATTCTGTACTAATAGCCAAATTGTTAAAGCACGCTATCATGCAAAATCATTTGATATCTATCATGAAGTTCATGAATCGAAGTGGTTGAGTTTTGGGATCTAACAATATCCACCTTCCACCTATCAATTTTAAAATGCAAATTATCCAACGGGTTCTAGAGCCACCTTTTGCTTTATGCAAGGGTAGTAGTGAAGACATCATCACCCTAGATACCTACACTTATTGACAAGCACTGGACAACATCACCTTAGGTAGTTGCAATTATGACATGCAATAACAGGTAATTTGAGCATGGAAAAATTTTGGACAGTTCAGATGCAGAACTAGAATTGAAGGGAAAGGAAGGGGATTTCCCTATTTGAAGGAAAAGTAAAAGTGAAAGCCCTACCATGGTTCAACTCCTGTCGAATTAAATGAAAAAATAAAAACAGAATTTACTTTCCTTTACGCCACACGGAATGCAACACTTATCAACTATGGAACAGTACTGCTCTAAAAGAGGCTAGGTTTGATGTGAAAACAAAGACAAATTGAATGAGCAAAAGAAGAGTGGACCTTCAGCAGCAACAGAACATGTTCTCTCTAAGCAAACTGCACACGTATCAGCATCATCAGAAGGGGTTGCTGAGGACTGCAGCCCATACTCTCTGCAACAATGAATCCCAATAATCAATGTCATCTCCTCTTCTCAATCTCATTGCAATGCAGATATGCGTTATTAGATATCAAAGAGTAATATCATTTTTAGGCATGTGGTAATATACATATAAGTTCTGCTCTATATTTACTAGTTTTTCAAACAAGTAACAGGAGCCTATCAAATTTTAGCCTAAATTTTTCATAGGTAAGCAAATAAAGCAAATGTGCATTATACATTACTTCATTTGGTTGGTATTCACAAAATTTTATGGCCATGCAGATAACATTTGAAGCCACTCATCAAACCCCAGTAGTTGGATTGTCTAACTTGCACAACACATACATGAATGAGATGATAATTACCTGGCAATGTCAAGTACACTCAAGAGTGGCAATGACAAATAATTAGAAGATGGAAAGGACGGAATTATGGAATCAGAATTTGGGTCAAGTAATGGCTCGAGCCAATGACGCCCCCACGTCCTGGCAACATGAAGAGGAAGCCACCTGGAAAGAGAATCTATCTGTTATGCATGCCTTCATGATTGGTGTTATAGTAACTATTATCTTCATTAATTCCATGCATAGAAGTTATAAGGAGAAATTAAGTTCTAAACATTACCCATTGCAATTCAATGTCAACCGACTGGCACCTCTTGCGATTAGGATCTGCAGAATAAAGAAAAATTATTGTAAATTGATTGGAGACACCAAGTTCAAGAACATCATAGAAATGAATACTTTTTTTTCCTATTGGGTGATCGGAAGTTTCATTTTGCACCCTAGACAGGATTGTAACCACAAAAGTCACCTGACAGCATTTGAGATTTCCCCCACATGCAGCATAATGCAAAGGAGTGCTTCCAGCTCCTAGAAAATGATGTATTTGAAAATTTTGATTTAAGCTCTAAGTGAGAGCACACAAAATGTATTCCAAGCCTTATGGAAATGTTATACCTATAAGATCCATTGATGTTCCATAATGAAATGTAACAGCTGATACATTAGCATGAAGATCAAGCAGGAGCTGTACACATTCAAAATATCCATTCAATGCAGCCATATGAAGAGCAGTAATACCACCATCTGCAGACTTATTTACAAACTTTGCCAGAGCACTGCAGTGGAATAAAGCTAAATATAGTTAATGAAGAGCTAGGTATGGAACTTTATGGTAATATAGATCTTTTATTTTATTAAAATAAAATAGAAAGGAATGCTGAGTTCCTACAGCCCTTCAATGTGGGGCACAAATTTCTAAGCCAGAATAACAGGAAAGGTACTCCAAGTGTTCTCGTATAGCATTTGGGTTATTCTAGGAAAACCTCATTGGTATGATAAACTGGTAAACATTTTATTTATTTTTAACTCTCTTAAATTCCTTCAAGTTTTTCAACTAAAGTGTTATTGCATAAGAGATAAAAGAAGCCGCATTCATCATCTGAAGTCAGAGATCTAGCAATAATCTTTGCATATATACATTATAAATATGAATCATGAATCTGAAAATATAGGCCATCAGAGAAAGATTAAATCCCTTACCCCTGATCGTGTTTGCTCTTTGAATGAGAACTTTCACTTCTGTCAGCAATTGTTTCAGCATGTACAGATTCAAAAGAGGAACTGGGAACAAAATCAGCCACCACAAGTCTTATGCACCTGACATGCCCATTCACTGCTGCAAAATGAAGAGCAGTCCGCCCACTAAGATAGTCTGCTCTTGTAACCTGAGGAGGAAATGGGGCCATGGGGGAAAAGGGGAGAGGGGGTGACATAAAACCACTAAACTATTCAAAGTTGCAGATTAACCACTAGAATTTTAAAAAGCCAGCTATAGCATACTAAAAGTGGGTAATTTTGCGTTTGGACATTTTTAAGATAGCCAGTCATTGCCCATTGGAAAAAGATATCATGTCCCTCTCACTCCTCGCATGGGCAGAATGAAGGGCTTAGTTGGGAAAAGAAATTATGTGCAAATTCTTCTATTAAAATGTTGTTAAAAGTAGAAGAGCTCTATAGATTTGGCTACACAAGCCTTGGACCAGAAAGTCCACCACAATGATTCAACCACATAGTTTCTTCCAGCGGCTGTGACTTTTTTTGAAGAAGAAGCAAAACACAGAAAATGAGGGAGAAAAAACATTTTGCAAGAAGTGTATCATAAACATCTGTATTTTTACCAACCTTTAGCTTTGCCCTTGTTCTTTTTACATAGGCCAGGAGACCTCTTTTTGGCAAGTAATTGTTTCAGAAATGGCATTAATGGGAAAATTCCTCTCCATTAAAATTTGCAACCATCCAATGGTAGTTGTTTCTTGTGTACTTTATTCCCAATACCACACTGATTTAAAAATACTCCTTATAAAATTAAATGGAAAATCAACTAATCATCAAAAGGAAGGATTTTGAAAGACCATAGGGCCTCAGGGTTACTAAATTGCATTCAAAAGAAAAGACTAGAAATTTAATTATCCATTTTTAAGACATGCTATAATCTGCAGGGATTAAAAAAAAATGGAGGTATAGTAAGAAGTAAACTCACATTGCATCTAAACAGAAGAAGAGTTTGAACAACTTCCCAGTGGCCATACCGACATGCTTGCATCAACGCCGTCTTGAGAATACAAATCAAGAATCAGATTTAACATAAAGATGAATCAATGTGAAGCATTTATGCAAAACGAAAATTGAACACATATTCCCCAAAAAGATGAGGTCTTCAGCTCAAAATGATGATATGATCGACTAACCAGGCAACACCCAATCTTACCTGACCACAGTAGTTTTTAGAATTCACATCTGCACCATTCTCAAGCAGCAATGCGACAATCTGAAAATTTGCACAATTAAGACGGAAAAGGAAAAGGAAAAAGATGAGGAAATTGAAAATGAATTATGAGGCAGAGTGAGAGAAAATGGATATGAGTATGACCTCGTTGTGACCCTTAGCAGCTGCAAAGTGAAGAGGCGAGTTGAGGCCACCAAAAGTGGAGTACTTTGCTAAATACGGGTTGCAATCAAGCAGCATCTTGGCTTCTACATAGTCACCGTCCCTTGCAGCTGAGACTAGCCGCTCTCCTGATGCAGAGCACCCAAAGGAGTTCCCCATCTTTCTTTCCCTCTCTCTTCTCTGGAACAATCTCAGTTTCTCTCTCTAAATCTCTAAGTATATACAGACGTGTGCTTATGTACGTATAAATATATATATATATAGGCAGCTTCTGTTTTTTTCTTTCCAATGTATGTAATTATGTATGCATACAAATAAAAACAAAACAGAAAAGGTAAAGGGTGGAAATTAGTTCAACTGCCCATTAAAAAAATTAGGAAATATGGAATAGGATGCCAAAGAAAAAACGTCATTATATAAAATGTCAATTCTAAATTTTTATTTAACTTGCAATTAGTTTTTTCAATTCACGTAATTAATAAATAAATAAATTTGCCAAGACTTTGTGATCTAGGGACACCAAGTTGCATTTCCATATAAAAGATTGTAAGAGCACCTCCATATAAAATATTGTAGGTTCGAAGCTCAGTGGATGTCATATTGTCAATGTTTATCTAAAATTTTGTTAAAAGACAATAACACAAGAAAACCACATTTGTTGGAGGGACAAAAAATCATGAACTAAAAGTTTTTGTCTATTTAAGTCGAAATACATAATAGAAGCTTAGATAAGAATTATACTTACCATTGATTTTAAGGTTTTTTTTTTTTCATTTACAAAATATATTTTCTAGTTAGCCTTCAAGTTCGACTTATAATCTAGTATTGTTCTATACAAGTTTTGTTGGATCTTTAAACAGGTACACAATAAAAGAAATAAGCATAGACAAGATCCAATAACAATACTAATCAAAAAGTAATGAAACAATATGTTAGGTATCGGTCGGGTTGGTCGAGTTCAGTCCCTGCTCGATTCGAGACATATGGCGCTGTGGCTTACCATAGAGAGATGTGGTTAAATGGTTAATGTCCACCTACTTATTACCAATTAGTTTTGAGTAGGATATGGCAACGAGGTACCATAGAACTCTGTGGTTAAGGGTGCTTGACTTCCGAATCTCGGGGTAGGTGATCCCTCTGAGATCCAACACAATAATACATGAAATAAGAGCCAATAAAATAAAAAATTGTAGGTGGTATTGTTTCTTAAAATGAATGATTCATATTATTTTGATTTTAGTATTTTTTTTTTATGATTTTTCTTATTTACCTTCTATTATATTATTTTCTTCCCTTTTTTTTTTTGAATGCTACTAGCTCGATTACATTGTAGTATCTGTTCATATACTTTCTCAACCTACTGAAACACAGAGAGCTAATAACGCCTCCACTGAGGCTCGAACTTACAACCTTCCAAATGGAAGTCCAACCCGGATACCATATTATTTTCTTCCCTTAAATAACCTAAATTCCGTTCGTATAAACTTTAATAACGGAATATTCCGTTAACTATTTATTATTCATTATAAAAAATTAAAAAAGAGATATAATTTTATTACTTATATTATCTTTATTTTCTACGGAGTATCATTCAAAGATTCATTACCTTCAAAGTTATTAATTTATTATATTCACTACATTGTACATTGTCTTTTTTTTTTTTCTTTGCATTATCTTGTAATTAAATATTAAATTTATAATACAAAATATGTTGTTATATATATTTATTTACCAAGTATTTTATACAAATATAATAAATATTACGGAGTAATATTTTGTTCAATACTTTCACATGATAAATTATGACACACATCTCACAACGCATTAAACATGTAGCGGAAAAACTACAACTACCAAATATTAATATGTGCTTGTAAGCTAAAGAGTTAATAGTACAACTAAGATCCCATCATATATACAACAAAACAAATCTAAAGCTTCTCACACCATAATCTCATTGCACGATGAATCCATCTATGCTACCACCCGTAACCCAATTGCACAAGGCACACTACAAAAAAAAAAATTAAAAAAATGACATGTACTGAAGATGAAGACAACGACAATATAATGCTACCCAAAAGAGACTTAAGAAGAATTAGAAAAGTTTAAACCAAAAGTAGTATTTATTTAGACTATCGTTTTTAGACTAAGTATTTAGACTAGCGTTATTACAAAGTTGCAAACATTTATTTTAGTAACAATATAATCAATCTCTCACATGTTATCTCGCATTTATATACTTTAAATTACCAATTTAAATAAACAAATTCAATATTTATTTACCTATGCATGAACATTCCCGATATAATATTACATTGATATACTTTGAAATACTTATTTAATTAAAAATAATCATCAGGCATTATTCCATTCGAGCAAAACGCGTAAAATAACTAGCCTTGGTAATGTGCTCCAGCCATATTCATAGGATATTTTAAATTTGGCAGAAACTAGAAAGACATATAAATTAGGATATTTTAATAAGAGAAACCGATCCCACTAGTGACGATCCCTACTAGTGACGATTCCGATAATAGGGTAGCTCAAGTGGCAAATGAGCTCTCTTTGTGGGGGAGAATTCCCGATAACTCAGGTTTGATTCCCACTAGTGACGATCCCCTTTGGGCTAGCTTCTGTGCCTCTCAGAGCGAACCGGGTGGACCTGGACGGTTAAACGGATAAAGAAAGACTCAGACCACAATGTTTGGTTGACACACACAAAAAAAAAAAAAAAACAAAAAAAACAAAAAAAAAAAACCGATACAGAATATTAATGGGTATAGTCTAAGATATATGGAATATTTTATTTAAAAAAATTAGCTTCTATGGTTAATAGCATTTGTATATTGATGCGGGACTGTGGATTGATTATTTTCTCATATATTTTGTTTCTTTAGTACGGTCCAGCAACTTGGACTGTTGCAATATACAACATTATTGACGGGGTTACAACTTGTCACCGAAATTGACTTCTTGATATTATTATAAGATTAAATGTTTGGAAATTATAAAATATAATATGCTGCCCGGGCCAATTTTAAAAGCATGAACGCGTGGTGTTTTGGATCGGAGTATGAACAAATTAAAGGTGCTGACAATAGCAACCAACTGAGTTTATATTTATTTATATATATATAGAAAAACGCTCATATGTGGTCATGTCATTAGGTGTGATCGTGTGGTCGTATCTGTGTTGTTGAATCAGTTTAATCTAAAGACTGTGGTAATTATGAGGATTTTCGCGCGTTTTAGTAAGTGGGGGTGTTATGGTAATTACAGTGACCATTTATAGTGGGCGGGTTCTAGAATACACCAACAGTGTTGACAACATACACCAATAGTGTAATAAAACACACCACAGTGAAATACACCAATGGTGTATTCCCGTGTTATGGTAATTACAGTGGCCATTTATAGCGGTCGAGTTCCAGAATACACCAACAGTGTTGACAACATGCACCAATAGTGTAATAAAACACACAACAATGTGATTTTCCTTATTCCGGTGTTTTATGACAAGTTTACCCTTACAGTTCGCTGGGTAGGAGAATGTGCGCGAAAATACTGGAAAAATCTTGATTAATATGATTCATTAGATCTATCTAATCTAATGGTCTATAATTGACCATATGACCACACCTAACAACATGGCCACATGTGATCACTCCTCTATATATATATATATGGTCAAGTTTTTATAAAAAACGCGTCATTAGATATGAATAAATACACCATACAGTGTTCGGGAATACGCTATTGGTGTGTTTCACTGTGGTGTGTTTTATTACACTATTGGTGCATGTTGTCAATATTATTGGTGTATTCTAGAATCCGGCCGCTATAAATTACCACTGTAATTACCATAACACCCCCACTTACCAAAACGCGCAAAAATCCTCAAAATTAGCCACTGCCGTTAGATTAAACTGATTCAGCGACACAGATACGACCACACCGCCACACCTAATGACATGATCACATATGAGCGTTCTTCTATATATATATATAAATCCAATAATAGTTAACAATATACGGTTTAGTATATAGTATACCAACAAATGCACCATCTGCATGCATATACATATACTTATACTCCGTATATTAATTAATTGTAATAATCATAATCATATGTCGCAATCAAGTTGGAGAGAGCAAGTATACGTCCAAGCCAAATTGTATTAATTAAACTAAAATAGTGATGAGTACTTTGAAAAAGAGAGCCGAGCTAAGCTTAAATCATGGATGATTAAAACATAATAATCTTGAGAAATCATAAAGTATTATTATTGTGGGTAGCATAGATGATGTCGTGTATATATACTGAGAAAAAACATTATAATATTGCCCAATTTCAGTACAAAGTTTTCTACCCATCCAACAAAATGAAATCTGCAAGCTAGCAATGCAAGAAACCAGGGAGTAGTACATAATTAGTTGAGGTGATAATGCAACTCAGATCAAGTTGGTTATGAAAGAGACCCTTGAGCTGTTTCAATGGACGACTGACCATAGAACTGTAGAATAGAATGAAGAATAATTTAGTGGAAAACACACCTAAAATGTACCAACAAGTCAAGGAAAAGTTTTGACTAAAGCCTACCTAACTACCGCTATATATATGTGAAACAACAATTAGATTAATTAAGGACCAGGACTATGTGGTCCAATGGTACCCGGGTTGGACTTTCATGTGGAAGGTTGTGAATTCGAGCTTCAGTGGAGGCGTTATTAGCTCTTTGGGTTTCAATAGGTTGAGAAAGTATATGAACAGATACTACAATGTAATAGGCGTTATTAGCTTTTTGGGTTTCAATAGGTTGAGAAAGTATATGAACAGATACTACAATGTAATAGAGCTAGTAGCATTCAAAAAAATTAGATTAATTAAGGGTTTGTTTGCAAACCCGTTTAGAAGTCTTTTTTGTTTTCTTTTTCGTGGTTAGGTATTAAAAAATTAAAGTTAAAATCAATTTGGTCGATAAAAAATTAGTTTAATTTGGCGAAAAATGTCTTCTTAATTAAATTTTTTTGTTGAAAAATATTTTCTAAATTCCTTATTTTTTATATTTATCTTCTCTCTCGCTCATTTATTTTCAAGTTAGTTTTCACATTATTATTATTATCATCACCCCCCTACACCACCACTAACCCGTACCATCACCACCATACCACAAATAATTTTTCTTGAAAAACATTTTCTAAAATTTCAAATCCACCCTAATATTAATTTGAGGCAAACTTTAATTTAATTTGGTGCCCCATGCATGGGAGGGCAGCCTCAAACCCCTTGGCTTCATACGTTAGGTTCAAATTAAACAATACAATCATAAAATTAGGAATTGAATATATAAAATACATTCTTGAATTTGTATTTGTACGTACGTAGGTGTAGGGCAGGCGGCGTGCATGGAGAGCATCATCTAATCACGCAGAGTGAATGAATTTGGCACACACTCAACATTGTAAACCAAACTTGGCACATACTATACATTCAATAATAATGCATGGTAGCTAGCTATAAAGAAGCTAGGTAGCTACATATATATATGGATGGCAATATAGATGAGACTAAAAAGGTATAATATATATAATTATATATATATATTATTATTCCAATTAACAGTATATATATAATATATATATATCCTGTATTATTATAATGTTGTAATAATAATAATAATAATAATAATATATAATGAAGATAGTGAAATTGGAGGAGATAGTGAGTTTGAAATATTGTGGTTCAGTGGCGGTGATGATGATGGTGATATTATTATCAACAAGCAGGCGGAGAATTGGGGTGGAATCGTCGTCAGAGCAGCAAGGAGGGATAGACTGTGCAACGGTGAAGGCACTAGTATCAGCTTGTTCGAGCTTCGTGATGTACGGATCGCCGGACCCCATCCCTGGTTCTCCTTGCTGCGTCGCCATGCTCAGCCTCAGCAACCTCGCTGACTCCACCGACAACCGCCAGATCGTGTGCAGATGCGTCATGGACCTCATCACCACTTACAACCCCAACGCCACTTCCATTGCCACACTCCCCGGCTTCTGCGGTGTCTCTCTTGGCTTCATAATTGATCCCAACACTGACTGCGAATAGTAAGCAATTCAAGCCACTACCATACTTTTATATATATTAATTTCCATCTTTTCCATTCCGTTATATTATTAATTATTATTTATATATATTTTTTCATTCCCTTCAATTCATTGGGTGCAGTATTGGATGAACAATATAATCATCTTCCTTAGCTTCTTTCAACATGCATGAATTGCGGGGCTAGCTAGCTGCTGCTTAATTGCATGCTTTCAAGAACCACTTTGCTCGCTGTATGCATGTGTACCCAGGCCAGATCGATCCAATACATATATACAAATTAATTAAATCATCATATGTATTGTACTATTGTATCCTTACCTAATGAATTAATGCCAACAATTAATCATATGTAAGTTAATTGTCTTGCAAGTTGCAACAACAACGTATGTATTGTTAACAATACAAAATTAATGTGCTGCGTGCAAAATCATTTCCTACACCCGGCTGGCCTACAATTCCATTTTGCATGCATGCATGCATGTGCCATAATCAAACATTTTTTACAAGCAACGTAACAGTCAAGTCAGTAGCCAAAAACTAACATTTCCACTCAAGTCATTAAACAACATTCCGACAAGTATTTTTCTCACTTTACAGAATGAATACACATAAGAATGCATGTAATGTGGACAAGTTTTTTGAGTGTACCAGACAGCTTTAATTTATTGTTCAATTCGTTCTCAATTATGGACTATCATCTTCCGATCCATGCATCATATGCGTCCAGACCCTGTGTATGCTTTGCCCCTGAAGCTACCACGTAAACTCCAGCTCTTCTCTGAATTTGTGTCTGTATCATAAAGACCATTAATCCACTTCAGCTGCATTCTTTGCCTCGGTGCACTATGGGACCTAACTTTAGCCGATGAAGACTCTGTATTAGCCATGTAGTTCGGGAAGTCACTGAACAAGCTTCGAGTGCACTCGCTCCTGTTAGGAGTAAAGGGTCCCCTTTGACTTCTGCTACTACTCCCAGGTTTAGAAGAAGAAGAACGGATACCTGGGCTGTGCTCAACCATCCACTTGCCTTCCTGATCCATTTCTTTCCCAAACTTTACTGATTGTGAAGATGAGACTTCTCCTGATGATAGACTAACATTTGGCTTCTTCATATTACTTGAATGCCTTGACGACATAGAATTTAAGGTTCTAAATCCTACACCATTGTCATTCCATGCTGAACTATGAGAGGTTCTTTCACTCCCTTTGGGGTTTACACGAGGCTTCCAAGTGTCTATCTCCAGTATCTTGTCAGTCTTCTCATCATCATCACCTCCCATATTAAGATTGGAATCTGCATAATTGTTCCTCGCGTAATCTTCCATCCACCGATCTAGCCACTTTGACCCTAAATCCATTCTTCCCCTGCTCATGGTCTCATTTTTGTTTGATTTTGAGTAAAATCTCTGCATTAACACCAACATAAATGTCATCAATATGCATTAATTCATCAAACCAAATTATCAAATTACTAATAAAAATTTGAAAAAAAAATTAATCATGTAAAATTAAAGCAAAAAATAAAATAAAATGTTAGCTTTTATCCAATGATTGACTTGGGAAACTATGAGTGAAGGATTAATTTGGGGTTGAAGGATACACAGATGAAAATAAAGCTCAAATCAATGTTGATGCCATGACTTCAGAATTGCCTCCATAGTCCGTCCACACGGACCACACATCACTTTTTTTTTAAGGACACAACAAAAAGATTCATATTACAGATCAAATTTTAACAGAGGATGACTACCTTTTGGTTTGTTCCATGATTATTACTCGAGTAACGCAGTTGAGAGTCATATTTATTAAGAGATGATGAAATACCCTGCAGATAATTGGTAACAAAGTATAGTTACTACTTGCAAAACAATGCAATGCCCTCAAGATTGTGTGGCCATTGACACACCATGCATGTACTTACTTGGCAATGGATCTTTGAGGCTTTAATACCAGAATGAGAGTATTCAGATACCACAGATCGATTTGCACAGGCGCGAGCCTGTATTCGAGCCATTGCTTGCATGCGACGGAGCATATCTGCACTTTGCTTCCGGACTATGCGACCTCGCACTAGAGCTTGAAGTTTCACCAGTCCTTTTAATGCTCTCAGTGCCCTCCTAGCCTACAAATGCCCTTAGATAAATAATGGCCAAATGGTTTCATGCTGTCATATTTAACTCAGAACCCTTAATGGTGGAAGGCTGGCCGCCCTTGAAAGCCTAATTACAAACCATTATGGAATATGGAAGCAGACTAAAGCTAGGATGTCAAAATAAAGGAAGCAGTAGGGCCATAGGAAATATACCAAGTAGAAAACAATTACCAGAATAGCAGGAAACTGCACATCATGCTTGAAAAAACTAATGTGAAAAAATGATGACCTACTCAACCACCTACTATTAACATTTGCTGCATCAATTAATCAATTGCTAAGCCCACAAATTTTCACAGCTGCAAGCAAGTAATTTAGTAGCTTAGGTACAAGCAACCATAAACTAACATTAGCATTCCAAGTTCCAACTAAGTGGTGGGAGTAGATTCTCTCTCTATAAATCAGTTAGCAACTACGTACTATACTCTGGATTATGAGAATAAAAAGCCATCAACTAACTAATCTAGAACTCGTGTAATTGGTTAAATGTCCAGCTACGGCTCCGTGACCATAAACCCTAAAAGTTGAATTGTCTAACAGGCTTTAATTTGACATGATGCACAAGTCCAAAAGTATGTCTAGTGCTATTAAAAAAATGAAGATGAAGATTGAATTCTGTTGAAATGGGGTCTGATGACTGATGAGCTTCAACCACACATGTGATGTACCCATCAAGATATATTGTCTACAATAAAGATCTTCCTTTCAATCTTTCACACCATTGATTAATAATATAGTATACAATGACAGCCAATATACAAAATGTACATTTCCCAAAATGTCCTTGCTGTAATAATTGAATTGGAGCTAGCACTAGAGTACACCCAAAACATGAAAGAGACAGGGGCATGCAATGAGAGTACCCAGTAGTACTCTCTACACACTTGAGACAATGCACTAAACCATGTCAAGTGGTCAAAAAGCCAGACTTGAGAGCAGACTGCCAATTGAAGAAGTAAAATCCAGGAAAATAATAATAATGGTGAATCGAGCAAGCAAGAATTAGCCTCCATGGAACATTGAAACATATGGGGCATTGATGTGATGCAGAACCCCACAAGGATAGTGATGTAACGACAAAGAGCAATGGTGGAGATAAGAGGATCGAAAATTATTTCGCGTTGTGATTGCAATTGATCATACCACTTGTCCCCAAGCCCTGTCCACCCACCCCCGCCCTACGGCCGGCTTCTCACCGCCCCCCAAAGAAAATACTCACACCCTCTCCCCCTACACCAAGGAGACTGGATATACTAACAACTAACAAGAAGCTCTCGATCATTATATAACGCATAATGCTAAAAATCAAATCTTTTCATAGGGGAAAGGGGAATCGACCATAAAAGATAAAAACTTGGGTGGAAAGTTACGTTTTTTACTTGAATTAGAAGAAGCATATTAATATTAATTGTAACCGCATTGCGATTGCGTACCAGATAAGCTCGAAACTCGGACTGTATCTTAACTGCAGCCCATTCAAGGCGGCGATCAGAGCTGCTGCTTGGGGTGGCCCTATTCCCACTGGTCAACCTCACAACCTCCGCAGCAGCTTGAGCCGCCGCAAGAGCAGCCTCCGCCACCGCCGCAGTGGCAGCAGCAACCGCTATCGCATGCTTGTTGGCGTCTAAAGTAGCTTCGGGGTGCGGGTTGGGCGAGGCGCCATCAGTTCCGTAGCAGTGGGTCCCTTGGGAGACCCCACCGATGTTCTTGCCGAAGGTATTGGAAGACTTAGCAGAGAGAGTGGAGTTGGCGTTGTTTTTCTTCTCCTTAGTAGACGGCGAGGATCTGGAAGACGACTTTTTGGAGCCTAAAAGCGACCGAAACCATCTGCTGGCCTTACCCATCTATCATTGCATTGTAGATTTGATTTGAAGATCAGAAAAGAATGAATAACTACAGTACTTGAAAAGGAGATAGAGAGACAGCCGGAGATGAGAATTGAGGCGCGCTTATATATTATATATACTCTTTATATTACACCGTATAGTATACGGAAGAAAGAGTGGCTGTGCCACACTGCCACTGCCTGTGGTTGGGAACCGGGACCCGGAAGTTACATAAACGACGACTTTTGACAGCTTGTTGGTGTTAATTGAGTTTTTTTTTTTTTTTTTTTTTTTTTTTTAAATACTCGTGATTATTCAAAGAATCTAAGCCCCTATCACAAGAATCAAACTTAGTACCATTTATTTGAAATGGTAATCGAGATTGGTAGGGAATATTCTGACCGACATAATTTTTTCCCAGTTGGTGTGCCTTTGTCTTTTCTTCTTGTCTTTGCAGGTAACAGGTCGGACTTTTTGTGAAGAATCCGGTCGGGGTCCGACCGGGAGTTGCCCGAGCGGCAGTGTCGACCACCGAGCGGTAGCCCTTTGGCGAAAGAGCTGACAAAGGACACGTGGCGGCTCCTTGCGACGACAGACAGGGCACCCGGGAGGATGACACGTGGTGGCTACGTGGAGAGCATGCCGAACGACCAGATTTGTGTCTCCGGCGCAGCGGCTATAAATACCCACAGTAGCTACAGTGTGAGGGACTTTTGGACGATCGATAGGCTGTTGTTAGAGAATCCCGACCGCAGTCAGTCGGTACTCAGAGCAACCAAGTAGATTGTACTTAGGGCCTTCACCGGGATCAATAAAGATATTTACTTGCTTTAATTGGTCTCGTATTTGCTTAATTATTGCTTACGTGGTAATTAGCAGTATCATTTTGGCGCCGTCCGTGGGGACCCGTGCAACAAAGCAAACGTCTTGACGAGCACCCGGTCATTCATCAACAATGTATCCGTGGGCACAAAACCTCTTTGCCGACGACCAGGCGGATGCAGCAAGCTCATCCGACCACCAGGCGACACAACAACAAGGTCAGACGATGGATCTCAACCTCAATCTCTCACCACCACATCCATCCAACACATACCCGGCCGCCCAACAGCCGGTGAACTACATTCAACTGGGGTACCCAACACCCGGTCAGCCATATCCGCAACAGCCGATGATGTATCCCGGCCAATATCCATACCCGGTCCCACCTCAGCCGTACGGGTATTGGCCTGGCCAACCGATGTATTACACGCCCCCGGTTGGCTATTCACCATACACGCCTGCGTACACGGCTCCAGCCGCCGCCCCTCCAGTCTACCCGGCCGCACAAGTAGAGCCGCAGCATCAGCCCGCTTCCCGGGCTCGACGCTCGGCTCGTTCGCGGTTGGGGTCGGGGGGTGCTAATGCGATGGAGGCACCACGGCAGGCCCAGCAAGTAGCCGAGGTTCCCACCCGAGAGGAGGACCCCGAAGAAGTTGCCCGAGCGGTAGCTTTTGATCGTCTTCGACCAGAGATGCGGCAGCGTTTGGGGCCCCAAGACCCGAACCGCCAGCCGGAAGATGTACAGATGCAGGAAGCCAGCCAGGAGGCTTCATCCGGGCATAGCGGGTCGAGATCTCATCGACGACGACGCGCTCGGGACGCAGCCCAAGCTGCCCAAGCCGCCGAGCTCAACGAGACCCGAGGATTGCTCTACAACCTCCAGGCGGAATTTGCGCAATTCAGAAACGCGCACCCTGCAACACCCCCGGTCGACCAATCGACCTTACTCCGGACACCCTTTACGGCGGCAGTGATGGCTCAGCCTTACCCGTTTGACTTAAAGGTCTCCGAGGAGAAAAGTTATGATGGCCGTACGGACCCTGAGGTCCATGTCAATGACTTCTACGGCAATATGATGCTGAAGGGCGTATCAGACGCCGTAATGTGTAGGACTTTTTATTCCACGCTTACCGGTCGAGCGGCGGAATGGTTCCGAACGTTGCAGCCGGGCTCAATCGACAATTTTGATACCTTGGCGATCAAGTTCGTGAGGAAGTTCATCACCTCCAAGGTGGTGAAGAAGTCATATATGTACCTGGAGAAGGCCAAGCAGCTTGAAGGGCAGAGCTTGACCGATTTCCTTGTCAAATGGAAGGCGGCGGTCGGGGAGGTCGAGCCCATGGATGATGCGACCGCCACCCACATGCTACACATCTCCCTCCGGGCGGGTTATTTGTATCAAGATTTCATTCTCCACCCCCCGGCCACTTATGAGGAGGCCCTTCGAAGGGTCACAGATTATGTCAACGCCGGCGAGGCGAATGCCGTAAAGCGCTCGCAGGAGGTCGGGTCTTCGTCCCGTAAACCGGCCGGCCGGGCGGAACACCGATCGGGTGATGACCATCCCCGATCCCGCACCAGGCCTGGTGAGTTTACGGCCTTGAACCGATCCGCAGCGGATGCCATGCAGTACGCTCAGTCCTGCAATCTCATCAAACTCCCCCATCCCGATCGAGACGGCCCTGACAAGAGTAAGCATTGCGCTTACCATCGATGTGCCGGGCATGACACTGAGGAGTGTACCCACTTGCGCCAACTGTTGGAGGATTTGCTCAATCTTGGGAAATTGGACAAGTGTGTGGGGAAGAGAGTGGACACCAAGAGGAATACCGATCGGAGAGATTACCGGCGTTCCCATCATCGCTCCGATCGCTCTGATCGTGATGGACGCTCCGATCGATCAGGTCAGGACCGAAGAGACGATCGTCGTGATGACCGACGGGACCCTGACCCTCCGTCTAGCGGCCGACCAGCAGGAAAGCCGACCATCCACGTCATTTTTGGTGGATTGGAAGACGCTTCCCGACCGAGGAGTAATTGCCCGGTCGCCATAGTGGATTCTCGGGAGACCGGGAAGAGGCAAAAGATGGAGCCCATAACCTTCACCCTCGAAGATCAACCCAGCAGCGGTGACCATGGCATGGAGGCGCTCGTGGTCACGATTGATGTGAAAGGGACGGATGTCCAGAGGGTTATGGTGGACACTGGCAGCAGTGTGAACGTCCTTTATTTGGACGTGTTCGAGAAACTTGGACTTGACAGGAAGGAGCTGACTCCGGTCGGTGTACCACTGTCGTGTTTTACCGGGCTCTTGTGTACCCCGAGGGAAAAATAACGCTCCCGGTTGAGATCGGCACATCCCCAAAGTCGATCAAGACGGAGCTAGAGTTCGTTGTGGTCAACCTCCATTGCGTCCACAACATTATCTTGGGCCGACCCGCCATTATGAAGATCGGTGGAATAATTTCTATGCCCCACTTGTGCATGAAATTCCCCACCCCCAATGGGGTCGGCGTAGTCCGCGGCGACGTCCAATCCGCCCGGAAGTGTTACACTCGAGCCGTCAACAGACGCGACTCCGGTCAGTCTTCCCGGGTGAACACCATAGCCAAAGAAGAGGCTAAAGACCGGAAGGAACAACCCGAGCCTTCCGAGGAAATCGAAGAAGTTCCCCTGTTCGAGGACCGACCGGACAGGAAGATCAAAATTGGCCGGGCCCTCACCCCCGAGCTACGAGCAGAAATCTTGGCCATACTCCGGGAGTATGCCGATATCTTCGCGTGGGGGCCCGAAGACATGCCCGGGATCGATCGATCGGTAATTTGTCACAAGCTAGCCGTCGATCCCGCAGCAAAGCCGGTCGTACAGAAGACCCGGCACCTTTCTTCCGATCACCGCGAGTTTGTCAGGGAAGAAGTCAAGAAGATGGCGGCGATCGAGCACATCCGGCCGGTGATCTATCCCGAGTGGGTGGCCAACATTGTTCTTGTTCCGAAACCCCCAGCTTGGAGGATGTGCATAGACTTCACCGACCTCAACAAGGCCTGTCCGCTCGACCCGTATCCTTTACCGAGTATCCATCAGATGGTCGACGAGATGGCCGGGGCCGAGTTGATGAGCTTCATGGATGCATTCAAAGGATATCATCAGATAATGATGCACCATGAAGATGAGAGCAAGACAGCCTTCGTGACCCCGGACGGGCTGTATTGCTACCGAGTGATGCCGTTCGGCCTTCGCAACGCGGGAGCGACTTATCAGAGGATGGTCAATATGCTCTTCGCTGATCTACTAGGCCGAACGATGGAGGCCTACATTGATGATATGTTGGTCAAGAGTCGAGACCGATCCGACCACACTCGGGATCTCAGGGAGTGCTTCCAGATCATGAGGAAGTACCAGTTGCGGCTGAACCCGACCAAGTGCACATTTGCGGTTCAGACCGGCAAGTTCCTCGGCTACATGATGACCAAGAGGGGAATCGAGCCCAACCCGGCCAAAGTAAAAGCGATTCTGGACATGCAACCACCTTCTACCGTTCGGGAGGTCCAGCAATTGACCGGTCCGTTGGCAGCTCTCAGCCGGTTCCTCTCTAAGTTAGCCGAGCGCGCTTTACCTTTCTTCAAGGTATTGCGGAAAGTTAATGGATTCGTCTGGGACGAAGAATGCCGAGCGGCTTTTGATGAGCTGAAGGAGTATCTCATGTCACCAATCGTGCTCTCAAACCCCGAGCTCGGAGAAGAGCTAGACGTGTACCTCGCCGTCTCCGATCGTGCAGTAAGCGCAGTATTGTGCCGAACCGATCCAGAAGGGGTCCAGCGACCGGTGTACTATGTAAGCCACGCGCTACATGGTCCCGAGCTCCGGTACTCCCGGTTAGAAAATGTCGTTTACGCCTTGTACATTGCCGCGAAGAAGTTGGCTCCCTACTTCCAAGGTCGAGCAATTCGCGTGTTGACCGATCAGCCGATCGGCCCAGTCCTCCGAACTGCTTCATCATCCGGTCGCCTAGTCAAGTGGGCGTTAATGCTGACCCAGTACGCGATCGAATACCGACCAAGACCAGCCATTAAAGGTCAAGCCCTTGCTGATTTCTTGGTCGAGTGCAGCGCCCGGGATACCCGACCCCCTGAGGTTGCGGATCCCGAGACTGAGTGGTGGTCGTTGGCTACTGACGGGTCGAGTAGCAAGAAAGGAGCAGGAGGAGGAGTGGTGGTCACGAGCCCGGAAGGATTTAAAGTTTATTTTGCTCTTATGTATCAGTTCCATCCGACTAACAATGAAGCCGAGTACGAAGCCTTTGTCAATGGCTTACAGTGCGCTCGGGACTTGGGGGCTGAATACATTCGTGCTCAAACAGATTC